GGCCGCTAGGGAAGCTGAAAAATCCGCCACAAAATTTGTCTCACGGTGGCCATGAACAATCTCGATCTCCCACGGACGCGCCATCAACTCTTTAATGCCACTAATAAGGCATTAAAGAGTTTTTGATATTTATTGCGATAAATAACCTATTAAATGCGGATATATATAAAATGTTCAGTGTGTTGATAACCAGTAATTACAGACAGTTAATACTCATAACTAACTGGCCATATAAAGAAGGGATTTATTTTTTATGTGTAGATTTTTATTTTTCTTATGTTTTTGTTAGGTTTATATATTTATGTTTTTCATCTATTTTTCTTGTGTGTTGTACTTTTTGTCTAATGAATGATAATTCATATTTCACATTATCAAACCGAATAAAATATTAGTGTGAAATAAATTAGAACAATTGATCTTTATCATTTAATCTTCATAATTCTCGTTTACTTATCAGGTTAGGATGAGATGACATTCCTTGATCAACTTTATCCGATGTCTACTAACCGGAATCAGGATTGGGATAAATCCTACATGGCATGTATGTGGCAAGTGGGCACATGTCTGTACTCGTGACTGGCAGGATAATTATATCGCATGTATAATGTCTATTATAATACCCTTGAATGTCTAGATAATTACAGATTTAGTAAAGTTGACTTTTGGGACAAAAGTTGACTCGTGATAAGTTTACCTTATGGGGTGTTCCGATTTTTGTATTCGTGTCGTGTTTTTTTGTTGACCTATTTGTTATGTGTGTAAGTGCAAGATAGAGTTGAACTAGTTGGTTCTTGTAGTAGTGTTTTTTTTTTTGTGTTTTTTTAATTATTTATTTGTTATTTCGTAAAAATAATATGTTCGCTTTCTAATATATAGAAAAATTGTATATATAAGGCAATAAATATACCAAACATTATAAAAAAAAATAATAATAACATATGTCAAGTAAAAGCTTTTTTACTCTCAAAAGATACTTGAGCAAGAACAGGTCCTCAAGAATCCCAATTTCGACATCTACTGGTCCAAAATTCAGGCCTTTGGCGAGTAGAGAGTATTATTTGGGCCTGAAAAAGAAGCTCTTAAAGTGGGCTGAGCTTCATCATTTTTATTTATAAAATCTAGTAGGCCCTGTCTACATAAAATCAGGGCTTCATAGAACTTGGGCTACTTAGGATTTGGGCCAAGAATTTTTGGTTCGTTATCGTCCTTCCCCGAGTTACCGAGTACCCGTATAGTACCAGTAAGATGTAGTTTGGAGGAAATTAGAGCAATTAAACTAATCGAGTTGTTCACAAAAACAACTTGGTTCGATTTGTGAAAGCTCGATCTCGACGCGTTTCTTGTTCGTAAGTAAATGAGTTGAAATGAGTTTGTTCGCGAACAATTAATTTTATTTTTTTTATTTACCTGTTACTTTTTGTGGGTATTACATAGAATAGTCGAGCCAAACATGCTAATGAACTGGTAATGTTTGCGAATAACTTGTTGAAGACTCTAAATTTATTAAATCAGTCGACCCGAGCCGAGCATAGGCTCGAAGATGAGCCACCCAACTCGGTTCAGCTCCAGTAACGCTCAAGTGGAAATCATTTTTTCAATTCAACATCAATTGATTTGTGTAATATATGCCCCCAACAAAATGATCTATATAATGCATAAATATTTTCCAATCTCTAATAATATAAGCCCATACAAAAAAGCTCTATCTGATTTTATTTTACTTTTTGTATTTTTTTTTTTGGTACAAAATCTAATTTTAATTTCTAAGTACAGAAAATAAAAATAAAATGAAAAAAACAAATTAAAAAAAAAAAAAAGGATCTTATTTGGTTGGTCCACAAACTTTTAACATGGGCTTATCTGATTTCATATGCCAATAATAATGAATATGAATAACAATGTACAAAATTTCACGACCAATAATTTTATGTACTCAGCATCTCTTTGGCGAACACAAACATGCCTGCAAAAAATAAGCATCCAATTTTCAAGTCTAAAAAATTACTATCAAACAGATTGATTGAATCGAAATTAAATTATACGTACATGGAAACTTAGCTTGGATTTCCTTCTGGTGCGAGTCTCGAGCTCGTCTGGTTCTGTGAAAATCGAGCCAGACGAGCTCGAGGACAAGCCTCTTTGGATCGGGGGAGACCAAAGCCCGCTTTTCGAGTAGTCGAAGTTGAATTCCGAGACATCGTAGAATTTGGACAGAAGCCTTTCGGACACGGATTTGGACACGAGCTGAATCGTCTGTGACGGGACTTGAGCTGACGAGGCTGAGATGTCCGAGACGACGAATGCCATTATTTTATTTTTAATTTTATTTTATTTTTTGGAGAAAATAATAAGATAATGTGAAGGGGTTTTTGATAATTGGTGTGTTGTGTTTTTGAGAAGAAGACAGAGAGGGGTTAAGGTGTTGGTTCTAATAAGATGAGAGGAATAAATATTTTTTTTTTGGTACAGGGACCTTCCGGTTTCCGGATCCACAGAGGAACCGACTAATCCGGAATCGAGTCGGGTAGGACCACAAGGGCGGCAAAGCTCTCGAGTTTTAACACTGAATAAATTTAACATATACACAATGCATATGCATGTGTTTATGTATTGTGTTGTTTTTTATGTGTGTCAACAAGTGAAAGATGAGTTGCACGATAAGGACGCGTATGGCTCTATGTATGCAATCATGAGAGTTGGTAATGGAGAAGAATAACATGGTTTGTGAGCCAACCATTAGGTATGCTTTTCCTTTTTCTTTTTGAAATTTACATGTGCTTGGATTTGAGAAATTTTCACGTGTTAAGGCTCGATGTCGGTTTGCCTCGTTTGATAAATGAGTCGAGCTCGAGTTCGTATAAAACTCGTTCAGTCAGCGAGTCGGTTCGCTTCGATAAAGCTCGAAAGGATGATTTTTATGTATTTTCTATAATTCTTCTCGATTTTAGCTCGTTAAGGCTCGAGCTCGGCTCGTTAATATTGATAAACGAGTCGAGCTCAAGTTTGAGCTCGGCTCGACTTGTTTACACCCCTACCTAATGGTGTGATTAGCTATAAATTATTTGGTCACTTTTGACAGGTAATTTTTTTTAACTCAAAATTTAACTCGAATCTAAACTCAACTCAACCTTCCTGAATAGTATCATTATAATTAAATAATATCAATCAATCAACCTCAAACATGACATCAACTTTTAATTTATTATTTTTCACTCACATAATTTTAACTACTCATTAATTCCAATCACATATTTCATACTTTTACATTAAATCAACTTTAATCATTATATTTTAATACAAGCTCAAAATTACATTCAAGCTCAAAATTACATTCAAACTCAACTCAATCAACTTTATCAAACTAATTGTGATTATGCAAGAAATCCATTCAAATCCACAATAACTTAAATCTAATAAACCCTAAGATTGGAATTGGAAACAAGAATTTTCAAAAATAAATCTCATTAAAAAAATAAAGGCAAAATATGAGAAAAAAAAAATAGTTTGAGAATAAAATGAGATGAATCTGAAATATGAATAAATATAAAGTAAAACTATATTGATTTAAGTTCACAAATAGAAAATCATAAAATTACAACGGCAATATATTCCAACAGGATTTCAAACAACAGTTTTAATGGATATTCCAATGTTTTAACTTGTTCGTTTGATATTTTTAATGGATTTTGACGATTCCGACAGTCTTTTAATGTTGAAATAATTGTGGAGAAAAATATTTGGTATATACAAACACTATTAGTTAGTTGGCTATGTTTAGGGTAATCATAATTGTATTGGAATTAGTCTAATAATAGACCAAAATTGGTGAAAATGGACATCATTGGGTTGGCCATATGCTTATATTATACAACATTTGAATGCCTAAGTTTTCAAATATTTAATTATAAAATATTTTAACGGTCATTATTATTTTTTTTTATTTTTTTAAAATGTTAGGTAACGTTTATAAAAAAAAACTAGCAAACGTTATAGACACCTAGGATAAGACACTGTTGATTATTAAACGTGGTTTTAGAATTGATGAATGCCTAATTCATGATGAGAATATAGATTTTATTTGAACTACGTACATTGTAAATTGACTTTGACTACTTCAAATACTATTAGTTTATTTATTATAGGACTAATCATTTGCAATTATGTAAATATTACATTGTATATATTCGAATTTAAATTATTGAGAATGAAAAATCCGATAAAGTTTTAAATTCATAAAAGAACAGTTTCACATTATCCATCCAAACATAATCTATTTAATTTTTTATTGTAATTGTATCAATACAACAACATACTCAGTATATTCTCAACTGGTTGGAATATGTGGGTCAGTTGTACGCAGACCTTACCGTTGTAATTATACAAGAAGGTTGTTTCCGTAGCGACCCAATGTGCATTGAGTCGATATATTTTTTTTCTAGAAACTTCACTAATAGAAGAAGCACTAGAATTTAATTGAGCCATTTTGATCTAGTCTATTATTAACACTATGCCAGGAAAATTATTTTAATTGGTCTAGCCATTTTTTTTTCTAGAAACTTCACTAATATTGTTCTTGTATCAATGAATTATATTTAATTGGTCCACCTATGCAAATAACTTATTATCAAATTGATGCATTTGAGATACTAGTTTGATTTAAATTTCTAATTTTTTTTACTATTACTAGTACAGATCCCGTGCGATGCACGGGGTGCACAAAATTAAGGTTATTTATCAAATCTTATAGTTATATAAATGAATAAAGAAAAATGTACAGGATATATAGTACATGACATGTAATAGGCTAAAATGTGAACACGGGTGATGCACGGGGTGCACAATTTTAAGGTCATTTATTAGTACAGAGTCCGTGTGATGCACGGGGTGCACAATTTTCTAGTATGTGTAATACAAATACATACCGTATGTATATGACAGAAGCACTAAATGAGTTATTTCCACAAAGCTTGCCCGTTAAGTAGCTCCTGAACACGCGTGCATAATTTATAGTACGTACTATAAAATCAAAACAGATTTCCATACAATTAGATAATAAATTAGAATACGTACTTTTTTTTTTACTTATCGGATGTTATGAGATTTTTTTTGTTAAACCGATTTTATGGGATATGATACAAATACAATTAGAGGATTGAACAAAATCAGAACAGATTTCTATACAATTAGATAATAAGAAGGAATTAGATAAGGAAAAAAAGAAATTAGATAAAGAATTTTGAATCTACCTTTTTTTAGTATAGATAGACTTTAAGTACAAATTTTGACTTCATCGATTTTATGAGTTTTGTTTTGACAAAATCAAAGACGAACACTGAAGATTGTTTCTATTAACATTTACAATGTGTATTTAATGAAAAAAATATTCTTTTTAAGTGTGATATATAAATATTAAAAACACTTAAAACATTTTATAACATCTATATATAAAAGCATCTAAAATATTTTATATTATTCACAAATAATGTTTGAAGCTACCTAAATTTTTGTAAACTACCCGTAAGGAAAATATGTCTAAAAATTCTTCATTTAACCTATATAGAAAGAGAGAAAACGTGTAAAAAAAGTTATACAAATAATATTTAAAAGTATCTAAAATATTAGTAATTAGACATGTGAAATTTAAATTTGTAAAAAATCTATATAGTTAATGGATTTATAGTAGTACTTAGACGTTTATTTATTTATGTTTAAAGTTGTTACGATAGATGAGGGATGTGATTTTTTTTACTCGTGGAGATGGAATTTTATAAGTTGGGTTATGAAATTTTCTTAAACTCGTTCATATTTATGCGATGAACTTTTTAAGCTGGGTATATAGATTTAAAATTGTAAAAAACAAAAACTTTCATAAATCATTTGATTTGGTATTTTCGGAGAACTTCATTAATTTAAAAGTGTAAAATAAATAAATAAAAAATGTACAACTGAAAAAGTTACAACCAATTGTATGGAGAATTAAACTAAATCCAATTTTGTTGAATGCATTAAATATTGATTAGATTATATATGTAAAATAAAATAAAAAAAACTAACTGGAATAGTTTTACGTGTTGCAATATTTTATATTTAAAAATATTTTTTTACGTATTGCATACCAACATTTTAGGAACTACATGTATATTCCTAAATTAATATTGCATACATAATATTTTAGGAACTAATTAAATGCTAATTTGATTTGCATACCAAAAATATTAGATTATTTAATTAAATGCTTGATAAAAATAGTAAATCATTAATTAGGGTTGACTATTCTACATACTACATTTAGTAAATAGTTTAGCTTTTAATATAAGTATAGATGTGGATTAACATTACAATAATTAATTGACATGTGTTAAAAATCATTGTCTTTCAAAGCCATTAAATTATCCGTAACACACCAACATTTTATCCTGATGGACTGACTAATGCATCACCAAAACCATGTCTCGTATATTCTACACCAACACTAGGGTTAAATATCTGGGCCTGGATAATCACTGAAACTGATTGGGTAATTTACACAGCTACGGTTCCTCTAAATAATATCTTCATATATACGATACATGTAAAGTTTTATCAACTGAAACTTTTAGGATACAAAATTATCAATAATACGAGATCTTAAACTGATCCTGAGTATCACGCAAGTATTACTTCTGGTCCGTAACAGACGCGAATTAAAGACTACTATTTCTCTCACTCTCTCTCTCGGAAGAAAAAATCCTCTTTTCTCCCTCCCTTACCAATCTCTCATGGTTTTTTTTTTTCCTCAAAAATCACTTCGAACGATCCTTGTTAACTAATTTCATGGATTTCTTGTAAATTTGTCTTTACTCTTTTGTGCCCGATGAATTTCTCTATTTTTCTGTAAGGGTCGACACATGAAGAGAACGGGCCGAGTGGAATTTCGGGCTCTGACCAAAAAGAAAGAGGCCAATAGAACAAATTATAATTAGATAAACATATCAACATCAATAATGCAATAGAGGTTTATAATTTTGTCTGGGTTGAGTTCTGAAATGGACAGCTCCGACCTTGGCGATTTCAACCGTCGAGTACGAAATACACAAATATCCACATGGTCGAATGTTTTTTTTTCTATTCTTTATTCGTAGTTTAGTTTGCCTATAATTAAACAATATATCAACGTTAACTAAAACTTTCTGTACATACATCTTGTTATATAATCAACATTTAGAAGCTTGGAGTCATTAAGAGCATTGCACAAGAAAAAAATCCTCTCTGCACCCCTCCCTTATCAATCTCTCATGGCTTTTTTTTCGCTCAAATCTTTCATACAATATACTTACAACTGTACAATAATAAAAAATGGTAAATATATACTACATATACAATATATATACAGTCTGGTCTAATCCTCATAACTACGAAAAATATGTTTAGATATACTATAAATATACGTTAGATAAATATGATCTAACATTTCTCTAATATTAACGTATAGTTATACATAAGATAAACGACATATAAACAACACTAAAACAACACTAAAACGATATATAAACATAATACACAATTCTGAATGATTGCAAAATCCAAACCTAACGTAGTTATACATTAGATAAACAATATATGTCTACTTTAGGAAATACATTAGTTAGGTGTGAGGTTTAGGAAATCCAAACCAAATATAGTTATACATTAGTTATACGAGTTGTTAGGTGTGAGGTTTAGGAAATTAAATAGGTTATACGGATTTTAGGTGCGAGTGTCAAACGAGAAAGAGGATAAACAAAAATAAAGGAGAATAAAGAGAGTTCAATGCCGCGGAAAGGGAAATTAAAACATAAAAAAGGAAGAAGAAGAAGAAGAAGAAGAAGAAGAAGAAGAAGAAGAGCAATAGAGAGGGAGGGAGGGGAAATATATGTGAAAGAGAGTTGGTACAAAGATATTGCAATTGAATGGATAAAGTTGATTAAGATTTATATGATTTCCGTGAAATGGGCTAAATTAATATTGCGCACAATTGCAGTAATTATTACTTGACAAATTGACTTTCCTTTCTGCGATTTTAGTTGGTTTCATGCTTTTTATATTGTATATATTTCGTACTTTTAAAAATAAAAACTTACTGTCGTTTATGTGTAGGAAAGTTTAATTTAGACCGTAAGGTCTGTAAATTTCTCAAACTGATTTGCTGTAGACAAAATTTTACCATACTATACTAGTATTGGGCTTTGGGCCCATGGTTCACATGATTCCTTGTTGCTCTAGCCCAATCTCTCAATAGCCCTAAAAAAATCAAACAAAACTAAAGCAAAAGCCCACCCAACAGATTTCTCTCGTCGTCGATTCACACTTGACAGCAGTCTTTGCAAATTCCATGTAAAAAAAAACCTCGAAAAAAGAAAAACCAAAAAAAAAAAAAAAA